CTCCTCAATGTCATCGAATGTCCAACCCCTACCAAGATAGCGCAAACAGCCCAACACTAAGAGCTCTATAGGACTAACTTTCCTTGTTGAGACTCCAGACTCTCTCCATCGGAAAAAGCAATCATTCGGGTCATCTTTTTCATCGTTGACCATCTGAAGCAACTTGAGATATGATTCATACGGCAATCGAAATCGCCTTCTGAATGTCTTGGACCACTGAGCATTCTCAGGTTTTGGATCTTGAATGTATAGAATCCACCAAAGACTAACTCTTGGTGTGACTGAGCGAAGAACCCCTGTTGCTGGATCCATAAAGAATTTTGGATGGCGGATTCGAGCTCGCTTCACGGAGGGCTTAAGTATATGTCGACGAACAGCCTTTGCCTTTCTCCTCCTTCTGGAGTATTCAAACAACTGCACCAGCAACGTGAGAAAGCGAACATTTCTCTTGAAGACAGCCTCCTCCTCCTCTCGCTCGATGTATTCTTCATACTGAGTGAGATTGAAAGAACCTTCTTCATTGTAACAGTCAGATTCGTCAATTGGGCGTGGATCGCTTGGTCCCAAATCTCTGCTTGTTTTAAAAATGACCTGATTCACCGCACTAATCATCTTCTTCAGTGATTCAGTGAATCTCCTGCTCATCTTGATATGTAAGATGAATCAGAAGTCACCAAATGTCGCTTGCGCGCAAGAAAGATAGGTGATAGCCCTATACGTCAAGGTGTTGGCAGCAACAATGCGTCGTTTCGATGAGATGATATCTTTTTTGCAAGTTTTGTTGAAACCCGGACCCCACACAACTTGCAGCAAGTTGTGTGGAAATCGAGGAAGTAACCCGGTGCCTCAAAACTTGCAGCAATTTTTGTGGATCAGTTTTCTCACATAAGGACTGGAAAAAACGAAACTTGCTGCAAGTCTTGTTTTGGGGTGCAAGTTTTGTTTACCGTAAGGATCGGCCTGACGTGCCACTGGACACAAAATTCTGTTCGATTCGATGCTACACCACTGGTCGGAAGCATTGAGTATATCGACACCATGCACAACTTGATGAAGCCAACCGCAGGATTCCTAGTGTTTCTCTTGTGCATCATCAATGTCTCACGAGCATTCCAGTCGCTTGCGTCACCTAGGACGCGGTTGACTCTGGTTCCAATTCAAACCAGTTCCAATGTGGGACGTTGCTACAATGCTAGCAACGAGAGACGGCGTGGCGCCGACAACAGCCGTCTATTCTTGTCCACGGGTGGAGGCGAGTCCAATAAGGGAAAGCGAAATAATCCGTTCGGAGTGTTTCGCAAAGCTTTCAGCAAAATTAGCGTTTCACTCCGCAAGAGCTTCCGCTACGTTCTCGTCGTTGTCGCGACGTGCCAAGGCCATCATTTGCGTGCAGCTGCTTGTTGTTACCCTACTCTTTGGCGGATTCGCTCGCAATGCCAATGCCCGCAAAGCGTCGATTCCGGTTGAACTTCCCTTTTCTCAATTTATGGATATCATCGAAACGCAATCTGCTGCAAGAGCCGGTTCGGCGTCTGCCAAAGGAGATGAGTTGCACATTCTTGACCTCAAGATTGGATCGGATACCCTTGGCTTTCAGATAGCCCGGGGAGGCACGCCAGAGCAAATCAAGGCCTTGCGAGAGTACAAGGATGGGAAGAATCCGAGTGTCCCTATTCCTTCTCGTGCTGCCTATACAAGAAAAGTATCTGCCTCTCCGGAACTAATTGACTATTTGCGTCGAAATCAAATACCCTTTCGCGCAGCAAGCATGTCCAATGCTTCTCTGATGGGGATGGCAGCAAGAGGTTTGCTTCTGACATTCTACCTCTTTTATATGCTTCGCATGATGAAAACCATGTCAGGTGGAAGCGAGAGCGGCCCAGGAAAATTGGCCAACTTGTCGGGACTTCCATTGGCTAGTTTCTCGGATGTTCAAGGGATTGATGGTGCCAAGTTTGAAGTAATGGAACTGGTGGATACCTTGCGATATCCCGACAAGTATGCTATTATGGGCGCCCGTGCACCCAAGGGGTTGCTCCTGGAAGGACCTCCTGGAACAGGAAAAACGCTTTTAGCTCGCGCCACTGCCGCTACAGCGGGAGTCCCTCTCCTCTATTGTTCAGGATCAGATTTCGTGGAAATGTTTGTCGGTCGCGGCGCTGCTCGGGTTCGAAAAACGTTTGAGAGGGCGAAAAAGTTGGCGCCTTGTTTGATTTTCATTGATGAGTTGGACGCATTGGGCAAGTCGCGGGAGACAGGGATGATGGCAAACATGCGAGGCAACGACGAAGCCGAACAGACACTGAATCAGCTTCTGGCCTGCATGGATGGTTTAGACAGCAAGGGTTCCCAGATTTGCGTTATGGCAGCCACCAACCGACGAGAGGTATTGGACTCGGCCCTGCTGCGTCCTGGGCGCTTTGATCGTATTGTAAAACTCGAATTGCCGGACGCACAGGGTCGCGAAGCGATCCTAAGGGTCCATGCCAGTAAGCTCCCGGGATTCAAAGAATGCTCTGGTTTGGATGGAAAGTCCGGAATGTAAGGTCCCGTGTTTGACATCACCTTCAAAAAAATTGCAGTTTGTCACTTACCTTTTCCTCGTTGTTACAGGTTCGGTTCGGGAAACGCAGTGGATCTGTCCACGATTGCCTTTGCTACCAGTGGTTGTAGCGGTGCCGAACTCGAGGCCATTGTGAATGAGGCTGCCATTCGCGCTGTTCGTCGCGTATCGTCCGCTCTACGCGACCCAAATGTCGATCCAGCGACAATTACCCCCAACGTTCGCGCCGAAGATTTTGAAGGCGCTGTGGCATCGTTTTTCTCAAGTCGATCAAAACGAAACAGCGGCGGCATGGGGGATATACTGAATAGTGTGTGGAAGGCCTAAAATGCATTTCTCTATCGGTAGTTCAAGTACTGCTGTGTCTTCGTCAAAATGTGAAGGATCGCAAGAATTGTCGTTCACGGCTTCTTTTTCGAAATTGTTTTGGCATCTTGGGCAGCCACTAAATAGCAAGCGGATGAAAGTTGGAAGATGTTGACAACTTGCTTCATGACACAACCAGGGAGTACAAGGTAAAAGAGGAGCGTGAATGCGGAATGTAACAAATTCAACTCCGAGTCCAGATAATGCAAAATGAAGGTGAAAATGTAGGTAAATTCGGCACCCACGCAGAGATAACCAAAGAATGCGTAGTATTGGTAATACCATTGTACAATAAAGTTTCGTCCCTGATTAGACTCTTTGCTCTTGTGATGACCGCTTCCAATTGAGCTATACATTTGACACCAATGCGACGAGATATCTAGGACAATCAGTATCAGATACACCAGCCTCAAACTTTCCTGCCGAACACCCAAAACATACAAAAGGCCTAGAGTAGAGCATCTGTCCGTAATCATGTCCAATAGTCCTCCGAAAGTGCTCGTTTGGTTCAGCTTTCGGGCCACGATTCCATCAAACAAATCACCCGCAAATGACGTGACATACAGGATGATTGCGATCGCCCAATATTCCTCGAAATTCAGCATCAGTATGAAACTTGTCAGCGTACACCAGACCCGAAAGTAACCGATGAGGTTCGGGACAAAGAGAAGAACATCCGTTGCCGTAGTCATGCTGAGCAATCGATACTGCCGAGCAATTGATACGAAAGGCTATGGCAAACACGCAAAATGCTCAGACTTGTCGAGATTCGAGATTCGAGATCCTGGGCTGCCGTCGGTTTGTGCAGTACAAATACTCCAGGGCTCCAGGGTACTAGTACCGTATGCATACCTGGTACGGAGTACTCCGTACTGTTACAGTACAAGGAAGTGTTGCGTTGGATGTTGGGTGATACTCGGTGCTGTAGAAAGGAACGGTACAAGTAGTACCATTGGAGGCACTACACACTATACACGACTATGAATATGACACCAGGCGCTCACTCAAGCACTAAAGTACAAGCACTGGTACCAGTACCTTGTACGCGAGTTGCTACTCCAGAACAACGACCAAAAATACGGCCTTGTGATCTTTGGTGATACTGTACCTGGTACAAGTACTAGTACCATGTTCTTACAGGTGTATGCATACACATGGTAACATACAAGTACCACCTGTCGTAGCTGCGTTGGGAAGAGATGTTAGCGGTCCTCGCAGAGAAGCGTTACGATTTTGGCCATGAATGAGGATGATGAGCCTCGCACCGCGCTTGTCGATGATCTCAAAAAGCTAGACCAAGAGTACCTCGAGTTATCCGTGCGAGAGGACTCTCTGATTACCGTATTGCGAAGGCTGCAGGAAGAAGAAACTGCGCTACGTCTTGCGCTCCAAGAAGCTGCTGAGACGGGCGCACAGCGGATGCAGCAGGCACTTCGAGACAAAGACCAAGCCGCCATCGCGCGGCTAGAACAAGCACTAATGGAAAGCAGTAGTGAAGAAGAAGACGCCAAAGCCGCAGACGGGCAGTCTTTATACAGTTTTTCCAAGTTTTCGGCAGGAGGTACCTGAACATTTCTGTCACGAAGGAGATTCACAAGAATCTAATGCTCACGGAAAGTACTGTAATCGGCAACTCCGCGGGAACGCATCTTGTGCCACTTTCTCAATCATTTGTACATGATGCATACATGACCTTATTCGCTTGACTTCTTCATTGGTATCTAGGCCATGATTCAGGTTAAACACCGTCAAACATGCGCTGCTGAAAGGAACAGCTCGGCAAAGGTATGTCTCCACCCAATGGAAGAATGGAGCACCTATTGTCGGTGCAAGCTAAAGTTGGTTATTTCCGATTGGTTTTTCGCGAAGTATTCGTTCTATTCTAGTAGAGTATCTCGATGACTTTATGACATAGCTGTCGTGTCGCCCTCTCCTTAAATTGAAGATAAAGTTAGCATAGTACTTGCGTCTCACCAGTATATTCAAGAAGAAGAACAGCCACTGCCAGCCGTTCTGCCAATTTGAGAGACATCGAAAGAAACAAGATTCGAAATTTAAAACAAAAGAAACTCGACGACGGTGAGATTCGAACTCACGCGGGCAAAGCCCAATGGATTAGCAATCCATCGCCTTAACCACTCGGCCACGTCGTCATGTTGGTAGAGGGGCACAGAATATTTATTATATAAACTACTGGTAATGGCAAGTCGCGATGGTATTTGCTCTCTTAACGCCCACACGCCCACTCCTCTCTCTTGAGACTAGAGTACTCGTACGACTTATACGTTTACTGCAACCCCAATCGCCCCACCTTCGAGCATACAAGTTCAAATCTTTCTAAAAGTGTGGCAATAATGCCCATCACTCGCGGGGTCTATGGGTCTATTATGGCATTTTGACATACCAAACTCTATGAGCGACCGGAAGGCGATGACAATCCATTGCTCGTTTTACATTTGGCATCATTGACCTATCAGATTCAACTATCAACCCATCTGCCAACCGATTGGACTCGAGTGTCTGTGTCGTCTGTTCTCAATGATCAATGCAATCGGCCTTTGGGATGACTGACAATGACAGCTGCTGCCCCCATGATGATATACTCGAGTATACTCAAATGCGCCAGGAAACAGTTCCACCAGTACATTTCCCATTTCCTCAAACTCCCTTTGCTTCCAGCAACAGGATCCTTGCTAAAGTACTTCTGACTGGTCTTCCACTACAGAATATTTAGCCGCTGGAGCAGCGGACAAAGAGAACATGGATTGACATCATCAGAAGGTGTAGAATGTTAACTATGTCATTATATGTTAACTCTTTTGTGAGAAGCGATATGTATATTGTTTCAAAACATATCAATATTGTTCATAGCAACTGTGACATTTCTTATCATCATATGTATTATTTTTAAGTCACAATGTAAAACTCGAATGTAACATTTGTGTATGTTACCTACTCAACATGTTCAATCTTGTCATTGTAAGTCACAACATATTTGGGAACTAGTATAAGCAATAGTCAATTAAATTTGGTCAAGATACAACATGTGATATTTAAATATTAAGTTCTTTAAGAAGGTGCGTTTTATTGATGCCATATATATTTGGAATGCACCATCATTGCTAAATCTTGTTTTTGTTTGTCATGTCATTATGGTGTCTATATTGAATGATGCTTTTCATGTAGATCTCTTTTTTGTTAAAAGGTATGCGTACATTTCACCATTATGATATTGCATTTGACAAGGGGGTTACGAACCAAACATTTCTGGTGTTGTTGTACATGATAATTGGTGTTATATAAGCATTTCTGGCCTTGTTGATGACTTTGTTCACAATTAAACATTTGAGTTCTGTTCTCATAACTCTTCACATAATCTCTATCAACAGGGACGTCAACGTTAGTAATGCTTGTGCTACATGCACGCGTAAATGCAGCAGCATCAGTGGCGCCCACCATCCGGAATCACACTGATTGCACAAGAGGCGGGGGATCCTCCGCATCATGTCAAGGATCTGAATATAGTATCATCTCCTTAAGGGGTCCTTTGAAGTGTAATGGTAGAATTTGCATCATCTTGACGCATTGCTCATTGCAAACCAAAACAGGGCACAAAACTCAATGCAAGTCTTGTTGCGACAGGAATGTAACATCCATGAATCAAGAATTTCAATGCAATTCATTTATTCATTTTGCAATATAAAACATAAACTTTGAATTATATATATGGCTATGTAACAACATAAGCAATGACATTATTCACCCATGTTGTTTAAAAATTACACTATTCTTTTCATTCGAAAGTGCCAAGTACCGGCCGTACAACAAATTGCTGTCAATTACACTGCAAGCATGTTTTCATCATTATCAGATGACAGCTGCGATGAAAGGCGATGGAAAATCTATGACAAGAGTACAGGAGAAGCATTGAATTGGAAGCAGTGATGCAAGGTGTTGAATTGTAGTACCCAGGAAGGTACAGCGAATCCACCAAGCAGAAGTCCGTATGCTGTTGTGTGATTTACTTCATGAATTTTGCCGACACATTTTGTTGGCTATCTTGGCGACCTCATGTCCGTTCTTGGAATTTGAAAGTGTCTTGTAAACTCCGCATTCAAGTGAATGCGACTGTATCCTCAGAATTTGGTGGCGACCTGTTCTCGCGATTTCGATTTCCATGTTGGATGATTGGAACCAGATGATTTTTGCTGACACATTTTGTTGGCTATCTTGGCGACCTCATGTCCGTTCTTGGATTTTGGAAGTGTCTTGTAAACTCCACATTCAAGCAAATGCGACTGTCTCCTCAGAATTTGGTGGCGACCTGTCCTCGCCATTTCGATTTCCAAGTTGGATGACTGGAACCAGATGCATTTTGCCGACACATTTTGTTTGCTATCTTGACGACCTCATGTCCGTTCTTGGAATTTGGAAGTGTCTTGTAAACTACGCATTCAAGCGAATGCGACTGTCTCCTCAGAATTTGGTGGCGACCTGTTCTCGCGATTTCGATTTCCAAGTTGGATGATTGGAACCAGATGCATTTTGGCCAACATTTTGAAGTTACTTTGCAACATAGACAACAACACATGTAGTAACTTAATAACATACTTAGCAGCAGAAATGGTATGTTAATATCTTACATAAGTAACAAGAGTCAACAAAATGGTTATTGCACTTAGCATAAATGTTGTTATCAAAACTTTAGATGTAACACATATTGTTAAAAGGAACCATATATTGTGCTGTTAACATATTTGTTATCACTAACAATGTGCATTGTTGAAACAGGAAAGACGCACGCCATATCCGGTAACACTTAACATGTTAAAATTTAGTTACCATATACCACCTTCTGATGATGTTTTGCCATTCTTATTATCTGCGTTTATCATTGGATATAGTAAACCAGTCTTTATTTCAGAGCCTCTAACAGTCTAAATGGAGTGTTGTTGCTCAATAACTCACCCAATACACAACACAACGATGAGATCGTGAATAACAAGTTCCAGCACACATATGCATGTCTCACGATCTCATGATCTCTTTGAACCTTTGGTTTTAAGATTGTGGTTGCTATGAAAAGATGGCAGCAGATTTGTTCTGAGGTGCATTGATCATCTTGAGAGAATAACTAATGGGCACAGAATGTCAAAGTACTAGTAGGAATCAATACATACTATGGACAGAAGCGTATTGCAAATATGGTGCAGGTGCTTGTGAAGGCCAGCCACTATATGCAATTGCATCAATTCATAAACAGCAATGCAATATTTCAAAAGGCTTTCAAGTTGGTGATTGAAAAGGAGGACGAGGCTGTCCCACCTCATCAGTGAGGACAATTCCTGATGATGCTATTTGAAAGCGTGCATCTATGGTGTTCAATGAATAATTGTTTACGAATTGGAGTTTTGCAATCTTCAAAGCAGATCAAGGATAAGATGAGGCTTAGCAGCCCAGGATATGGAAGGCAATAAGGAGGAGTCCGGGAAAGCATAAAGGTACCACATGGATTCAAAGGTGATAGTGGGTCTGGTTACAGAAAGCAATCAGGCATTTGTGTTGCTTCAATTTTGATAACTACATCAAGAAATGGTAACGTTTTGACAATTACGGATTCTAGAGATGAGAGACAACAAAAACAGGGACAACAGCAAGGAAAGTACACTGGAAAAATGGACAATGCAAGCATGGATGGTTGAACTGTGATGGAACTGCTTGCTCCAACAAATGTACAATCTGGTTGCTGAAGAAGAGCATGACCACAAGTGGAGGCAATGGAAACGGAGGTGCTTGCATTTTTTGGAAAGGAAATGGGAGTAGTCAGTCCGTAGGAAGCCAAGAGGTGGCAAAGCACTGGTTGGAACAGGAGGCAGTAGCAGCAGTTGAGGCAGCAACTTTGATGATGATGATGATGATGCTGATGGTGATGGTGATGATGATGATGATGATGATGATGATGATGATGATGATGATGATGATGATGATGATGATGATGATGATGATGATGATGATGATGATGATGATGATGATGATGATGATGATGATGATGATGATGATGATGATGATGATGATGATGATGATGATGATGATGATGATGATGATGATGATGATGATGATGATGATGATGATGATGATGATGATGATGATGATGATGATGATGATGATGATGATGATGATGATGATGATGATGATGATGATGATGATGATGATGATGATGATGATGATGATGATGATGATGATGATGATGATGATGATGATGATGATGATGATGATGATGATGATGATGATGATGATGATGATGATGATGATGATGATGATGATGATGATGATGATGATGATGATGATGATGATGATGATGATGATGATGATGATGATGATGATGATGATGATGATGATGATGATGATGATGATGATGATGATGATGATGATGATGATGATGATGATGATGATGATGATGATGATGATGATGATGATGATGATGATGATGATGATGATGATGATGATGATGATGATGATGATGATGATGATGATGATGATGATGATGATGATGATGATGATGATGATGATGATGATGATGATGATGATGATGATGATGATGATGATGATGATGATGATGATGATGATGATCATGATCATGATCATTGTTGTTAGCAGGCTATCTAATACAATGTATTTCTTGTTATTGTTGGATAAGCATATAGAATATGTGTTTTGCTTTGATTCAATAGAATGTATATGCAACACTATTTTGCAATGTATTGTCCATGCAATGTATTGTTGTTGTGTATCACTGGCTTCAACCAGGCATGGCACAGTCATGCAAAGCCTCACCACTCCCCCATTGCAGCGTTTGGCTGTTCCGTGTTTCAATTTCTTGCAATGCCATTATAATGCATGCCATCATCCTTCACACCATGTGCGTTTCGAATTGAAAATCACCAGCTGGTGGCTGGCCTAAACTCTAGACTCTTAATCCCGGGGATGCATAATGCAAATCATAATGAGCAGCATTTCAAAATTCAGCCGAGGTGTCAATGCTTTAGTATCCAACTAACGAAGTCCTTTCCCATCGCCACCTATGGGCTCAACTGGCACAACCCCCCAGCCTTCCTGCATGCCATGAACCACTGTCATCACACCCTGGCAACGA